CTGATGTTGAATCTAAAAAATCCTATTGGCTAAATTTTGCAGATCACCCTAACCCTAACCAATCAGATTAATTAAATGATAATGATAATGAACTAAATAAGGATAGTTTTGTTAGTGATGAAATGTTCATAATAAATTGTGAAAGTAAGAAAATGATAGCTACAAATTTATATATAAACTATATGTATTATGGTAAACAGTTAGATAACATATATCTTTATGACTATGTAGCAACAATTCACAAAATAAAAATCACTGAAAAAGAGCTTGACAAAATTGCTAGGCAAAAAAATTGTGAAGGATGAGTTATATGAGTAGACAGGTTCTTCTTTTTAGATGGAAAAAAAAATATAATGAAATATGCAATCATGACGATATATATCCACAACATTCTACGCATATACATGTTCATTGGAGTCACAGAAGTAAAAAAATTTCTGATTTGTAGAAAAGACATACCACATAAAAATGATATTGAAAATATAGAATGTTATAGGCTCTGTATTCTATTACTCTTTAAATCTTAGACTACTGTGAATGACCTTATAATCAGACACAAATTATAGTATAAAGCATGTGATGACTTTTTACAGAGTTCAGATTTATTACTATAACTATGAACTATAATTGATAATATTAAACTCTTGTATAGATATGTAGAAGAAACAGAATTAGATAGACAATTACATCAAATGTCCTGTGAGAACCCTGAAATTACAAAAATTTGAAAAATAGAAAGGTCAGTAGTTGTTTATGATACTCAAGGTGATGATATTAAAATGCTGATTGATCAGGATGATTCTGATGATGATAATTTGAATCCTCTAAATCTATATATGATTATGCATTCTGGACTACACGATATAAAATTTGTTGATAATGTGATATTTTATTTATTTTTCACAAATGAGCTTACAAAAGAATATCAAAATAAAACTGATAATTTGACTCATATTAATTACAAAAATCAAATTTAATCTTTACATGAAGATAATGATAATTTAATTCGAAAATAGGAAGAAACTATAATATTTAGAAAACAAGTAGAACAATTAACTAATGATCAAGAACTTAAAAAAGACAATATGTCTAAATCAATTACAAAAATTTTTACTAAAGAAAGATCAAGTGATTCATGAACAGCATTAGCTATAAATCAAATAAATCTACGAAATATTTTAAATAGTCTAAATAATAAACAAAAGCAAATTTTTATGCTTGTGTGTGATCATTGCAATAGAAATTATGCTAATAATCCTAATAAGCTATTCCAATTATTAATATATTTGGGTAGTGCTAGAGGCACCAGAAAATCAAAGATCATCAAGGCTATTTGTGAATATTTTAATCATATTGGTAAAAAACAGAGTCTTGAAGTCTGCACACTAACAGGCTTTGCAGCATCAAATATTAACAGTTCTACACTTCATTCGCTATACAATTTTAAATTTAATAATGATGATTATTATAATTTAAAACATAGTTATACTTACAAAGATCCAAAAAAGACACTTCAGGAATATTGGACAAATATAGAGTATCTTATTATAGATAAAATATTAATAATAGAGCAAAAACTTTTATTGCAATTTAATACATGTATTAAAGAGGCAAAGTATCTTCAAGATGATACTGTATCTTTTGCTAGATTGAATATACTTTTCATTGGAGACTTTATGCAACTTCCTCCAGTATTTGATCTGCTATAATATCAACCTGCTAATATTAATAAAACTAAGTCAAGTAAGACACAAAATATAAATTGATTCAATACTTGTGTACTAACAAATATTAGTGGCAGAGAATTGTGGAAAGGGGCATCCATAAATAACATTATGTACCCCACATAGTAGCTCTTGACCCCCTAGACTATATAAAAAAATTTTAAAAATCTATGTGTTTATATATAAATTTTTACAAAAACTTAATTATCTTGTGATCCAGTAATCCAAATTAGATAAATTTGGTACCATTAGATTCGTCTCAATAAGAGAAATCCAATGGTACAAAAATTATTCAATTTGGATTACTGGATCAAAATATATAGACAAAAAACTGTTAATTCTATAGTAATTTCATATAAAATAATATAGTCAATAGTTTTTTTGCCAATATCTTTTGATCCAGTAATCCAAATTGAATAATTTTAGTACCATTGGATTCCTCTCACAGAGACGAATCCAATGGTACCAAATTCATCCAATATGGACTACTGGGTCACGAGATATTAATATTTTTATAAAAAAATTAAGTTTTTTTCTTCGACCTCTTTAACTTAGCAAAAAACGTAAAAAAATGTTATTTTTGTGAAACCCCCTCCCCTCTTGTATAACATTATTTATGGATGCCCCAAATTAGTAAAATATATAATTATCTCAGAAAAACAAATGTGGCAAATTAAGAATTTGGAATATACAAATATATTGAATAGTTAAAGCATATGGCAACGTAAAGTAGTAGTTAAGTTGTCACCCCAAGTAGCAGGTCTAGATTTCGATTCCCACCAGAGATGTTTTTCGAAAAATAGACCTGTGTACTGGTAACATTTATTCAACAATCAGTTGGGTATATTACCTATAATCTTAGTACTACTATCTCGAAATAAAAGCTTTAGAGCGATCTAAAATCTAAAAAACT